GGCGCCCCCTTTCCTAATCCAATTCAGCCTCCTCCCTTGTGGGGGGCGCACCAGCCCCTTGTGGGCAGGTTAGCCTCCCTATTATGGCCCATATGGCCCATATCTTTCCTCGGGGGGTTCCGGTAACCCCTCTAGTACTCCGGTATGTACCCGATACACTCCGGAACCCTTCCGGTGTCCGAATACTACCTTCCAATATATCAATCTTTACCTCTCGACCATTTCGAGACTCCTCGTCATGTCTGTGATCTCATCCGGGACTCTGAACAACCTTCGGTCACCAAAACGCACAACTCATATAATACTTATCGTCATCGAACGTTAAGCGTGCGGACCCTTTGGGTTCGAGAACTATGTAGACATGACCGAGACACCTCTCCGGTCAATAACCAACAGCGGAACCTGGATGCTCATATTGGTTCCCACATATTCTAGGAAGATCTTTATCGATCAAACCGCAATGTCAACATACGTTATTCCCTTTGTCATCGGCATGTTACTTGCCCGAGATTCGATCGTCGGTATCTCCGTACCTAGTTCAATCTCGTTACCGGCAAGTCTCTTTACTCGTTCCGTAATGCATCATCCCGCAACTAACTCAGTAGTCACATTGCTTGAAAGGATTCATATGATGTGCATTACCGAGAGGGCGTAGAGATACCTCTCCGATACTCGGAGTGACAAATCCTAATCTCGATCTATGCCAACCCAACAAACACCTTCGGAGATACCTATAGAGAACCTTTATAATCACCCAGTTACGTTGTGACGTTTGATAGCACACAAGGCATTCCTCCGGTGTCCGGGAGTTGCATAATCTAATAGTCGGAGGAATATGTATTTGACATGAAGAAAGCAGTAGCAATAAAACTGAACGATCATTATGCTAAGCTAACAGATGGGTCTTGTCCATCACATCGTTCCACTAATGATGTGATCCCATTCATCAAATGACAACACATGTCCATGGCTAGGAAACTTAACTATCTTTGATCAACGAGCTAGTCTAGTAGGGGCATACTAGGGACACGGTGTTTTGTCTATGTATTCAGACATGTATCAAGTTTCTGGTTAATACAATTCTAGCATGAATAATAAACATTTATCATGAATAAGGAAATATCAAATAACAACTTTATTATTGCCTCTAGGGCATATTTCCTTCAATCTTGTTATACTTGATGGTTTTTCGCACTATGTGTGGACCTTCCCATTGCGTCGTAAGTCGGATGTCATCTCCACTCTCGCCGCCTTCTACTCCTATATTTTCAGTAGTTTGTTCGTCCCATTCTCGCATTTCAGACAGATAACGGGAAGGAGTTCGACAACCTAGTTGTTCGCACTCTCCTCACCACACATGGCATGACTTTTCATCCCACATGCCCGTACACTTCGCAACAGAACGGTCGCGCTGAGCATGTCCTTCGCACTCTTAACAACTGTGTTTGGACCCTTCTTTTTCACACCAATGTGCCTCCGCGGTTTTGGTATGACGCTCTCGCCACCGCATCACTCCTCATTAACATCCGCCCGTGTCGCACTCACGAGAACTTTGCACGTCATCACCTCCTCTTCGGTGCACTGCCCTCTTATGATGAGCTTCGCATCTTCGTATGTCTCTGCTACCCTAGCATCGCCACCACTGCGCCTCATAAGCTTGCACCCCGCTCCGTCGCCTGCATCTTTCTTGGCTACCCACCTAACACCAAAGGCTACTGCTCCTACGATCCTATCTCACATCATGTATTCACCTCCCGACACGTTTACAAGGTGTTTCCGTTTCAGCAGCAGGTACCTCCCGCTGCCCCGTCGCCGCCGGCCATCGGCGGCCCTTCGGTGACCCCGTCAGGTGAACGGTCCTGCTCGGCTCTTGGACCGCCTCCGGGTTTGGCGGTCCTCGCGCCGTGGGACGAGCTGCGCCTCGCGTCCGCACGCCACCGTCGCCATCCATGCCGGCGTCGTCCCCGGCGTCCTCTCTGGCTGCCTCAGGCGCCTCGGCCGGCCCCCTCGCCTCGGGCGCCTCGTGCTTCGGGTGCCTCGGGCGACACCCCCGCCAACCCCGTCTCGGGCATCGCGGGCCCTTCGGGTGCCTCGGGCGACGCGCCCTTCTCGGCTGCCTCAGGGGCCTCGGGCGCTGCCCCTTCACCGGCCGCGGCGCCGATCGCCTAGCCGGCTGTCCCGGAGTCGCCGTCTCGCCTCGTCACTCGGGCTCGAGCTGGCGTTCATCGCCACTCCAGCGACAAGTATCTCCTCGCCACCTCCACCACTGTGTCGTCATCGATCCCTGTGTCTGCTAGAGCAGCCCTTCGTGATCCTCACTGGCTTGCTGCGATGCAGGAAGAGTTGGACGCTCTTTAGTGGAACCGTACCTGGACACTGGTTCCTCGGCCTTCTCGCGCCAATATCATCAGCGGCAAGTGGTTCTTTTGCCATAAGACCCGCTCGGATGGTACACTTGAGCGCTACTAGGCTCGCTGGGTGGTCCATGGCTTTTGGCAGCGAGCTGGCGTCGACTTCACTAAGACGTTTGCACCGGTTGTCAAACTGGGCACGATCCACACTGTTCTCCAGCTGGCGGTTTCTCAAGGCTGGCCGGTTCATCAGATGGATGTCTCCAATGCCTTCCTTCACGACCGTCTTGAGGAGCAGGTTTACTGTGAGCAGCCGCCTGGCTTCGTCGACGCATCTCTTCCTGGGCATGTGTGTTTGCTGTCCCAGTCTCTCTACGGGCTCAAGCAAGCACCTCACGCCTGGTACCAGCGTATCACCGGGTTTCTTCAGACACTGGGCTTCAGCGTTACTCGCTCGGATGCCTCGTTGTTTGTCTATCACCACGGCGACACAACTGCATATTTGCTCCTCTACGTCGACGACATCATCCTGACAGCCTCCTCCGCATCCCTTCTTCAGCAGATTACTCTTCGGCTGCGTGATGAGCTTGCCATCAAGGACCTGGGCGCTCTCCATTATTTCCTTGGCACTGAGGTTGTTCGGCGACCAGACGGCTTCTTTCTTCATCAGCAGAAGTATGCGCACGAGCTACTTGAGCGTGTTGGCATGCTCAACTGCCACCATGTCGCTACTCTTGTTGACACGAAGGCCAAGGTTTCTGCTCTTGAGGGCTTGCCCGCTTCTAATGCTCCGTTCTGCCGGTCCATTGTTGGTGCTCTTCAGTATCTAACTCTCACCCGGCCGGATCTTCAGTATGTTGTTCAGCAGGTGTGTCTCCATATGCACGCCCCTCGTGACTCCCGTTGAACCCTCGTGAAACGGATTCTCCGCTACATCCGCGGCAAGATGGCTCTTGGGCTCACTCTCACGGCGTCCATTTGTCTAGAGATGGTGGCCTACTCCGACGTGGACTGGGTCGGCTGCCCTGACACCCATCGGTTCACCTCTGGCTACTGCGTCTACGTCAGCCCTTCACTTGTCTCGTGGTCGTCCAAGCGGCAACCTATGGTTTCGCGCTCTAGTGGGGAGGCTGAGTACCGAGCTGTGGCTAACGCCGCCGCCGAGTGCACCTGGCTACGACAGCTACTTCCGGAGTAGCATCATGACGTCTCTCAGGCTACGGTTGTCTACTGTGACAATTCTCCGCGGTGTACCTTTCCGCCAACCCCGTTCACCATCGCCAGACTAAGCACATTGAGCTGGACATTCACTTTGTGCGTGAGTAGGTGGCCATTGGACGCATTCGGGTCCTCCATGTTCCGACCGCACAACAGTTCGCCGATGTGATAACTAAGGGACTGTCGACTTCCACCTTCGAGGAGTTTCGTTCCAGTCTCTTGCG